TATACAACAAGACTATCGGTTTACAGGCACAACACAAATGTCTTATATAACAAATAGGAGATTTATATTTTTGGCTATGCCCTGTGATGGACTGGCATCCTGTCCAGGGTTAACCTTGTCTTACATCTGTTGCTTTTTGGACAGGGCCTGGCTCCCCTGCAAACCTGAATTTGTAGAAGCAGTTAGATGGATATATACATGTTCTGGACAGCTTTTTCCCTCCTGGACAAGAGTCCTGTCCAATAAAATGCCTACAGAGGTCAGAGGTTGTGTGATGCTGTGTTCTTACTCTTTGGCTAAAGATCTATTGACATCTTTGGCTATGAAAAACATGAAAACCATTTTACTAATTTAATAGTTATTGCAGTCTATTTTTTTTTTCAACGAAAGACCACAAAACAGGTTTACCTAAAAATACACAAACCAGAGCTAGCAAATACATGCCAGAATTTACACGAAACAGAACAAAGACATCAACTGCAGAGCAGTGTGAGTGTGCCAGATTCTCTGCTAGAGCCTGTGACTTTTACAGCAATCACCTCGCTGATTAATTCTGTTGATGATAAATGTTAATCACCAAAATGTATTAATTTATGTCAAGCCTGTATAATAGAATGTCAGTTCACTTGCTAGAATAAAGTCATTTTCCTCAAAATAACTTTGTGAAATTGTTGCTGGTTCAAGTTTCTTTTGCTGCTCATTGCACTGGTGTAACATTTAAAGTGCACTTTTATCAATTGTACATACTTTCCTAGAAACCTTCTTGCTAAAAGGTCAGCAATTTGTCTTTTTTTTCAGCACTATTACCATTTCTAAGCTGAAGTCTCCAGAGTCTGGTAAGCTCTTCACAGTTGCTGTATTTTTCTTGCACACTTTTAAGCTCCATTGTCTTGTCATTTTTAGAATAGAAAAACAGTTGAGCCTTTTTCCAAATTATTTTGTATTTCAACTTTTTCTCCTTTGCTGTCACTTACGGGAGGCATGAGGGAACAATGGTTAGCATTTCTGCTTTGCTGCACTGGGGCACTGGGGCCAATTTCAGACCTGGGGTGCTGTCTGTGTGTATGTTCTAACCATGGTGACATGGGTTTTTTTCCAGGTGCCCTGGTTTCCTCTTTCCTCTCCAATGACATAGTGGTGGGTTACTTGGCGTCTGGGAAAATTGGCCCTGGTGTGAGTGTGTGCGTGTCTATATCTTTGTGTGTGCCCTGTGATGGACTGGTGTCCTGTTCAGGGCTCGTCCTACCTTGTAGTTGGTTGCAGTTGATTAAGGACCTCACCACACCGAGCTGCAGTGACCACACTTTGAGATTCATCTATTCACGTATTCTTTCAGCAACACAGACATCCCTGCAATCGTCTCATCTTTCAACATGGCTGTGCTCATCAACAACAGACTCCGGCACTGGATCCAGCAACAGGTTGTCTGGATAGTGTGTGTGCCTTCGCTAGGGATTTCCCAGGGCTGTGCCCTGCCTCAGGATTCATCTTTACAATTCCCATGAGAAGGTGTTGACGCTGTGGAGGAATCGAATGCAGAGCTCCAGATGTGCTCTAACTAGGCCAGTATTCTGAGCATAGCCTCTTCACAGCTACACTCATTTCCCATATAATAAAAATAATAATCCTTACACTTACATCGCGCTTTACAGGTAATGGAAACTCCCCATCACCACCACCAGTGTGTAGCGCCCACTGAGATGATATGATGATGCAGTACGCTCAACACACACCAGCAATCAATGGAGAGGAGAACAGAGTGATGAAGCCAATTCATAGACAGGGATTATTAGGAGGCCGTGATTGGTGAAGGTCAGGGGGAAGTGTGACCTGGACACCTCTACTCCTTTCAAGAAATGCCCTGGTATTTTTAGGGAGTTAGGATATCAGTTTTATCTCTTATTCAAAGGACGGCACCTTTTTTATAGTATAGCTTTTCCATCACTATACTGGGGCACTAGGACCCAACACAGTCACAGGGTGAGCGCCCCCTACTGGTCCCACTAACACCTCTTCCAGCAATCAACAACCTTAGTTTTTCCCAGGAGGTCTGCCATCCAGGTACTGACCAGGCTCATGCCAATTGTGAGTTGCAGGATGATAAAGGTGCTGGCGAAGGATAAAGATAGTGATCTTAAGTGCTGCCCTTTGTGAAGTGATTGACAAATGTTTAGGTAAAAATTGGCAAAAATTGTTGACCTGCTGTGCATTTTCTACTTTGATTCCAGCCATAATAGCCTATGTGTTTTCTTTGTATAACCTTGTAAACACTTTGTCTAAAATAGCACTTCTTAGCCTCTGTCTTAAATACACCTGGTACTAATTGCTCCTTGTACCAACAGTGTGGAGGGGTGGCTGGGCCACTGGATTACGAACTGAAGGGTTTGGGACTCAAACCCTTGATTGTTTGATCAGGTTACCTCATTCACTTCACTCTGCGAAACTTCACAGCTGTACAAATTGAAAACACTTTGGAGAAAAGTGTCAAAGCATTCAAATAGTAGCAGTCTGCATTCTTTGGATTTAGCTCCATGGCTGAGCTTTCAGCACGTATTTGGGCTGAATCTGTCAGTATTTTAAGAGTTTTATTAATAAGCCAAGTACATGTACTTTAACTAGGTTCATGCAGTTCTGTTCAGTCCGGGGTATATTCAGTATTAAGGCGGGTAGCTGCGTCAGCATGCGTAGGCTGCAAAGGAAGAAGTAATAGGTTTATTCCATGCAGAAAGGAGAAGAAAGAAAACACGTTTCAGCTGTGGAGCCTTCTTCAGGTGTGAGGAGGCTGTGAGAAGGATCCACAGCCGAAACGTTGTGTTTTCTTCTCTTTTCAGCATGGAATAAACCTATTACTTCTTCCTATTCAGTATTCCTATTTTTAATTTCTCAGCGGATGAAATGCTTTTTTGTTGTTAAAACCAAAGGCCGTTCTATGGTTTAACATTGACTCTTTCATTTTGATTATCACACCACCTAGAATTTTCCCTTCTGCAGGAGCTGTTGCAATATTAGCCGAATACTATACTTTTGTCTGTGACTACAGGACACAATGAATGGACAATACGTATTGCACATTAAAAAGGATCAATACCCGAAGGAGGAATTCACAAACCTATTCAATGAATATGTTGTACCGTGCTTCTCCAGAAAGAGAATTTTTGAAAACCAAGTGTGGCTGGCATGGAGCATAGCCACAGAGGTTTGTAACCGGCCGGTTTCAGCGGCTGTCTGGAGTTTTTTTTTTTTATTTATTTCAAGACTTTTAAACACAATTGCTTAAAAGAAACAGGGCTTAAATGTTTCATTGCATAATTGTGCCAAACGCCGTAATATACTTGTCATTTCCATGAGTGTTTTCCGCCAGCGACGTGCGTTCAGAGGTTGATAAAGAGCTGTTATATAAAATATTGAACTAAACTACAGTGCATACCTAAAATCCTGAAGATGTACCATATCGATGAATAGGAGATAAAGATCAAATAACGCATTAGTACGAAAGCCTGTCACTCACAAAAATCCCAAAGAAGCGGTGTGCGGTCTAGAGGAGTGGATCTTGTCTTTGATTATTGTTATTAACGTGACATCAGAAGAAAACCCCACCGCCTCTGTGTTTCCCCCCGCGGCGTGAGCTCAGCACGCCCTGCCTGGAAGGAGCAGAGAGCCCACGTGGTCGCGCACACAGGCTGCAGAATTCATTATGTGAGAAATGAGAGGGGCTTGGTTGCGCTTCTTCTTTACGCTTCGCCTGCCTCGGCAGTGAAACTGACAAAGACCCCGGCGCTGGCTAGCACTTCTCCAGCCTGCATTCCGCGTCGCCCCCCTTCACCTCCCGCTCCGAGAATGCTTGTTATTTTTACTCGTTCTTTCTGAGGAAAGGGAGTCTGTGGGGGGGGGGACCTTCCTGGGACAAGGCGACGCAACACGATTCGTGAGTTTAATCACTCATTCCTTTGTGTTACATTTTCAGTTGTTTTAGGTTGTATTAAAAATAAAGCACGGTTGTGTTTAATTGTTTTGGTGGTGGTGGGGGGAGATTTGAAGACCCCCCCTTAATTTTGGCAGATACATCAAACGATCCTCATGTCTCCCTGTTTTCCTTCTCTCCCCCCTCTCTTTCCACCCCCTTCTCTGCCTCTGTTCTGCCTGTCCCTTTCTTTCCTCGTTTCTTGTCGCTGTGCTTCTCTTGGCTGTGGCTGGAGAAGGTGGGGCAGGGTGGATTAAGAAACCGCTCGCCGAGGAGAGGAGCAGGGGGGGGAGGATGACCCGCCGATAGAGACCCCCTGCTACACCACGGAGCAACACTGCTGCTTTCGGAAACACGAGGGGACCAACACATCCAACTAAACAAAGAGGGCGAAGACATCACCACGACGGCACGATGCGAAAAAACACCGGGATAATCTGAATGTTCAGTTAGTCTTTCAGACACCAGCCAGCCCGTGGAAGGCGTGAAACATCACAATGATTCATAAAGCCCAGTGGTGATCAGGGCAGCGGAGTAACGGAGTGGACAGCACATTCATTCTCCACCCCAGCCTACAAGCCGGGTCTTGATTTTGATTTATTTTTGTATTTTGTTTTTTTTTTCTGTCATTGAAGCTTCCCTGGATAAATCTTTCCTTTTTGTTTCAACACACACCATGGGGAAGTGTAACGGCAGATGTACTCTGGTTGTCATATGCGGTCTGCAACTGGTAAGTGGGTTTTTACAATGAAGAGTCGTGTGTCACGCGTGGAAGTGTTTAGTCAGGTTTAAATGCCGTTTTGTGTGGACTCACGTGGAAAGACCGGCTTCATAAGGCTGTGGAATCGCTACTTTCTGTGAATCGATCAGTTGGTTTTGTTTTATTATTTCCGCAGCGCTCTGTTATGTTAATTAACATCATGTCTCTTGGCTTTTGCGTTCTGGTAGCAGCAGGCGAAACTCGGGTACGATCGAAACGACTAAGCTAGTTTGCTTTTAAAACTGAGTCTTTTAGAACACCGAGGTTGTGAAAAGAGGAGAGTTGCCTTTTTTCTGGCTCCCGGCGGTGCATTGTTTAAGCCTTTCCACCACCGGTTCTGAAAGTCACCACTGGGGGAAAAAAACCAATTAACTGCCTGGACCACCTGCGCATCGACTCATCACCTGAAGCGATGGTCCGATGGCGTGCGCGTTAAGAGCAGAATAAACAATAAGTCCTATCGGGGAAATTTCCTTTATATGATGATTTTTCCACTGTTCGAAAATCCGATGTTCCTGTTTAGTCAAACTTTACTTTTTCACAAAACCCGGATGAAATGTCCCCGCCAAGGTAAGAAATGTTTTGTTCCTTTTCTGTACTGCTGGTTCTTAAAGGATACTTTAAAAGGGCAATGCCAACGCGCTCTACTGTTAAATAAACACAGAAGTACGGATTCGCATTGTTCTTTATTTCTCCAGAAAGAGTTGTGGATACAGATCGGAATATTGCAAGAAGCTGGGAAAGACTGAGATGTGCCTGGTTGTTTGCATGTGCCGATATTATTTTTTATAAACACTTATAAACAAGCCGGGCTAGGTTACATTTTGCTAGTGTGAGAACTATAACAGCTGCTCTTAACGAGATAGGGGGTTTTGTCTATCTACAGAAACATGTTTATATTAGCCCTCCTTCATTACAACCGTCAGATTCCCACTTTCGGTGTGATTTATTTTTTTAATCAGTTGTTTATTTCTTGTTGTACAGGAGAAGGGCTGTTTATCGCGTTTGCTCCTCTGGCTTTTATCTCAACAGCCTTCTGAAGCTGCTGTCTTAAAAGCCCCCAGTCGATTCTGACTCTGTGAAGCGAAGGGCCCCTCTTTCTCACCGCTGATGTTACTTCGTCTTTCATCCTTCTGGATGTGTTTTTTTCTTTTTAAGTGAGCGGCAATATGGGTTAAGCGCTGTTGGTAACTTTCGGGCTGTTGGGACCTCAAACAAATCTTTTTCCCTCTGTGTCGAACAGGGATGCTTTTCTTTCCACCTGCCCGCGTGTGACGCATCTTTCTGTGTTGCGATGCCTCTTTGCAGAGTAGCGATGCCCTCTGGCTGTGTCGGTGGGCTCCAGCGCGGTTACTGTATTATTAATAGGGTCACGCTGAAACATTGTGCTGTTTCATCTCCGCCTTCCCCGATGTGTACTCAAACCTGATTGTCTAAAGCCTTTCTGTTTACATCAGTCTTTTCTACTTCGTACCCTGGATCAGTCCAGTTATGAGTCGACATACAGTACATAATAGAAGTTCGCTTAGTTCCAGACAACCACATAGTAGTCAGTTGTCTATATTCATTTTATCTGTGCGTAATTATTTGCATTAAAATTTGTTGTGTTTGTTTTTAGCTATGTTCTCAATCCTTTCGAATTACCTACAGTATATTGACATGAGTGTTTGACAGGAGTATTAGATAAGGTGCCACAAGAGAGGTGGCTGCTCTGATGGGTTTGCTCAAGTACTGGTTGGTAGCTTATTGATCACAAAATGCCATCTGCATCTTGAAACATCTCGAAACATCTCAGGCTTTTGGATTTGACTGTGTTCTTTGTCAGCTTGGGCCATACGTCCACAACTCTCAATGTAAACATATGTGTCTTTTTTTCATTTCTGAATGTTTCCTTCTCATCTTCCTGCTGGGCGCAGGCTAGGTACAGTCAGGGTATGTACAAACAAGCCAAAGACAAGTGATGAAAATTAGACCGAGCAGCCTAATACTGTGTTAATTCCTTTAGCCCTCCGAGACTGTGGCCTTCACAAGTACACACTGTGTTTGGACATTAAGCAGTCACGAGTATAAAATAGTAGTAGCCTTTATTCCAGCATGTGTTAGATTCCAGTAAATTTGAGTACTTCTCATCTTGTCTTGTGTTGCTTGGTCTAAAGTATTTCTAAATATAGGATCATTTTCTCTGTTGTCCATTTTTTGCAACTGTCTTCTGTTGCCCTCTTTTAACCCACGGTTTGTCCTGTGACACTGTTACAACAAAGTGGCTTTACATGTACTAAATGTAAGACCATCTGGCCTGTAATTGTTTCCATTTAATTACAATTCGTTTGTTTAGATATTTTAACCACTCAGCTTTTTATAAAGATCTTGGTCTCTTTGATGATGGCAAAGCAGTGCTGCGCAAACTACTTGTCAGTTGGGAAATTAATAATAAAAATATTGATTTTTACTAACTAAGACATTTTAGAAGGTGTCTTATATTTAAAGGGTGCGTCTATATAGGACACATACAGAGGAAAGGGGTGGCAGGGGGGTTAATAGTGTTGCCTTCAACACTGGGTTCCTGGGTTCATTTCTGGACCAGGGGTGCTGTCTGTGTGGAGTTTGTAAGTTCTCCCCGTGTTCTGCTGGGTTGAATGGCTGTGGGTGAATTGGCTTCTGGGACAATTGACCCTGGTGTGAGTTAGTGCATGTCTATGTCTATATGTGCCCTGCGATGGACTGGCATCCCATCCGGGGTGTGTCCTGCCTCGCAGCCGTTGATTGCTGGGATAGGCTCCAGCTCCCCTGCGACCCTGAACTGAAAGAGGTGGTTAGAAAATGGATCAATATGTAGAAGAATGCTTCACATTTGCCTTCTGGATGTGAGTCCAATACACATGTCCAGGACATGTCCCATAACCTGCTAAGGCCAGAAGGAGAGTGCTTGATGCTGTGTTCCAGTTCCCTCAACCAGCACCCCCACTCTCTTTCTACTCCTTTCTGCCTATTGGTGGTGACTCCAGGCTGCTGATCAAATAGAGCACCCTGTTCTACAACTGTAAATCTGTGCACACTGTTCTGATCATCCAAAGTAACATAAACTTCCCAAAACATCTACGCTTTCGGTGAAATCTATATCTTTCTGAGCATGATAGGAAATGTGAATAAACATACAGTACGTGGAACTTATGTAAGAACATAAGAAAGCATTCAAACCATTCAGCTTGCTTGCACCATTCCACAACCCTTTACACCTACTTGTCTGTCATATAGATCTCACTGATAAATGCCTCAGATGTTTGACCTAATTAGTTTATTGAATCGGCACAAAAGCATTTTTTATGGTTCAATAATATTTTTAATGTTAATATTGGCATTTCATATTGGCTCTCTCCTGTCTGCTTTTCAAAACGGTGTTAGTACTGACCAAAAAAAATGATCAGCAGTCAATATCAATTCAAACCATATGGACAGTGGCTGATTTGCTTTTTCAACGCTGTTTAGGGTGTTCCCAGTCATGCATGAAGTGTAATCATAGAATCTGAGAAAGTTACTAGGATAAATGAGAGAGTTTTTGTGTGAGTATTCTAGCAAACTGCACTGTTTGGTTTCAGTGAATCAGTGAAACTTTGACGCACTGCCCATTGTGAAATGCCTGACAATTTGATTCCACTTGATGGCATTTCAGTGGGGAGGATTTAGAGACCCCCAGTAAACTGCCAAAAAGCAGTGCATTTGGAATTTTCATTAATCTGGGTGTCTGTCTGCTGTGGACCTACAGTATGCTTGCATCTACCTCCTGGAGAGACACTGGCAATGCTTTTAGGTCTGCACATTTCGGGAGATTATTGAGAAGGCTTGTTATCTCCAAGAAATCAAGTGTTTTCCAAATAAGTTGTTTCGAGGTGTTTTGTAATGACTTTGTCCCAGCCCATAAAGTCGCTCTTTCAGAGCACAAGCTGGATCCTGCAGACCATACACTGATACATTGTTCCTCAAGTGAGCCTGCAGCATATGATGAGGCTATTGCAGCCATGTCACTCTAGCATTCAGTGCTTCACAGCAAGGGGCTGGCTAATCAGCATAGGGGCTTGGGGTGGCTGAGATGGGAGGAGGGGGTGCTGACTGCTCATGGACCAGTGGTGTCTTGGCCCAGATGAATTAATCTGATGCTGCTCAGTTGCTGTAAAGCTTAGAGTGTCTGACACTGCATGTGCTGTCACTGAGCCTTAGTACTGTCAGTGCAGGCAGCAATGCAGTGCAAATCCGTGCTTTTTATTTACAATGTACAGCAAAACAAAGAAAAGCAAAACAATAGCCTACCTCCTTCTGACTCTGACATAACTCTTCTAATCTGCATCTATGGGCCGGGTAGCTAAGCTACTCACCCACTTCCTTTACCTCTGCCTGGTCTTTTGCTCATTTTCATCCCACTGTTGCTTGTACTTCTCAGCCTCACTGGTAAGTTGTGAAGAGCAGCTACACCTTTTGGATTTTGCTGCCTGGCCGAGGTCACAGATGGCTTGGAGTCCACATCCGTGCAGTAGGTTAGTCAGCTCTGGCTCCATGCACCACACTGCAGGAAACCCTGCTCTGCCAGCTTTGTACAGTCGGCCGACCAGTCATCTTTGCTAGAGTGCTCAGATGACTAGGTTAGGCATGCAGCAAATCATCCTCAAAGTGTTAGGTTGAAATAGAGTAGGAGGAGGATCCATCTTCATCCAAATGGGGAAGAGTGTAATTGCATAATATTGTAAGATTGTAACAGAAAACTGTTACAGTGATGAGGCTCCCTGGGTTCCTAAAGAGATTTGAATTCCTGTGTATCAGGGGTTCTGACCTTTTGGCATAGGGGGTTTGACTGACACTGATGTTTGCCTGGGCTGCACGGATCTGGTGATCTGAGTTCTCTGAGTCACAATTTAAAAGTCCTGAGTCCGAACACATTCACTGCTCTGTATGAGATGTGGGAGTATGGAACAAGCTCC